AAGTTGGCCGAATTCCGTGGGTAAATACTGAGCTGAATAGCTATTTATCATGGATAATATATTAATGATTTTTGAAGTAACAAAATAGGATAGAGGTACTGTAAAAAGTGTGGTCTGAATGTTATATTTGTCCCATGTGATGGATTGTCTAAGACTAAAGTGGTACATCAATCCCACCTCTCTCTCTTGACAAGCAAAGCTCTCGTCTAATCCTCTAATTAATACACTAACACGCCAGTCATGTGGCTTGTCCAATGCCCATCGAGTTTGAGTCTGATTGACCTATGCGTCAACCAGGCAATGCGGATGATTCGTCCTGTTTCCTCTCATGCTACTGTTGAAACCTAGACATTCCAGACCGAACTGCACGCATTGCGGAGTAGAAGAAGATAACTCATCTTCTATCGCTATTAGCTTTTTTTTATTCTTATTTTTTTTTGCATCAGATTTTATTTGCGAATGCAGCTATCTAGCTATGACACACTATCAAGGAGGTGTATAGAAAAGATGACTCAATTTACAAGAAGAGCACTCATACCTCGGATTTCATTTGCAAGTACCACTGCGAAGTTATGGCGGCTTTTTTTTCACCCCAAGTCAACCCTCATCCGTGAATACCCACTCAGGGAGACGTCTCATTAACCCTGAGTTATCCAGACATGCCTCCGTCATCCATTATTATTCCTCCGCGCGAAATGTGATCTGAGATGTCTCTTTCCCAAGTGAAGTGAGTGCCCAGGCTACTCAGACTATACCGGAGAACACCACCAGGAGGCGGACCACAACACCTTCCATCGTCTGTTTATTTTTTATAGTGTCAGTTGCACTTCTCCTGGAGATTAAGCACGAATAGGGCCGAGCCGGATCGGGTTAACTACCGCGAAGTACAGATATAACTTGTCCCACTTAAATGACTGAACCACCTCAGACTTCACCTATGTGTTGAATCATACCAAGTCTGACCGTCCAGAAACCCGCTGTATAAACGCCGTGGCGGAAATTCCTCCTCGGCCTCGGCCACCACGCGCCCGAGCCCTCGACGTCCTCATTGACTCCGAAATATAAATGCCATCCAAGATCTCATCGTTGCTCTAGCCTTGCACCTTCACATTGAACCGTTGGGTAGTTTTCGTCATTGGGGATTTGTGAAATCCCCTATGTGTATGTTCTCTTTTCTTCCTCATTTGTACACGTCCCGTTTCCATCATGACTTTCCTCATTAAGGCGTGCGTAGGTAGATGGGTCGCAGGTGTAGAGTCGGCTGAGAAATGGATCGTCGCAAATATATAAGGAGCTTGAGAGATGTCGGATGTTTGAATACGACCCCCAGAAAGACCTAAATCCATTCGTGAATCGTATGTTGGTGGTGAGTTTTTAATCGACTTTGTTACGGCTGTTAAATCTCTGTCGACTGATTTTTCGACCAAAATATCGAGTGCAACTCCTTCAAGTCGAAAATCCATCAAATAAATTCATTCCACCCTTTTTTGTGACTGAATCTCGGCTCTGGGAGAGTATTTCACTCCCAGGTTCGTAGAGGACACCGCGTACAGGTGTTCAGTCTTGCCCCCTTAGGGGATAGATAATCAGATGATGCAAACGTTGTTCGCTCAATCTCGTATTGTTACTAGATCACTAAGATTCTCTTAGGGACGAGACTCAAAACCTGACAGTGGTGTCCCCTACAAACCTACAGCTCTCACTGTAGAGTCTGCAGAGCTGAGATTGAGTGACAACTTTTCTACATTGAGCTGAGTTATTCCCCCCCTCCGTCAAAGATACGCTCCCGACAGTACCCAAGATGACCAAGACGATGATAATGATGCTGGGAATGAGGAAAGATAATGCGGTACCAAACGCCAAAACGGTAGTCAGAGAAGTCCTCGTCATGTCACAATATGTGCTACCCACCGGCGGGTGAACAAAAAGCCCACGAAATCAAAGCAAACGATCCTTCTGCCCTCAAGAAAAGCAGATTTCGACTTGTCAAGAACATCGTCTTTTCTAACCTATACCTCCGAATCTACCAGCCAGGAAAGCACCTGAAGTACATAAGTTACTCGACAATCTGTTGAAAATATAGCTTTCTGCCTTTCATTCTATCGACCAACGTGGTTACATGTGTCTTGCCTGAACTGTATTTCTGAGTTCAGGCAGGAGCCATGCTTCTGATCCAATCAGACTCAACGTTTAAGTCTGCTTGCATCCAATTCTTCCCGAACAAATCCAGTAATTGGTTTTTTCGTAATTTCTACTGCATGACTCAGTATTCTGAGACAGTGGATAAATTTTTGAATCTGATTACATTTAACCCGATCAGGCACCCTATGGATCCATTTAGGTGACTATCTTCATTATTTATAAAGGAGGAAACTAATTTGGTGAAAACCACCTGATCCTGTCTGTTTATATTCCTATAAATTTCTTTAGTTTACCTTAAGGAAGTGCAGTGTACACTGTTCAGTCAGTGTGGATTCCGTCCTCCCCCCTTCCAGATTACATTATTATATCCGAAATTCCTACCTCGACTTCCCCTGCAAGTCGAAACTGTCTTATCCACCCTTTGCTTAGTATCCACCGTGTGATTCTAGCCACATCTTCTAGGCTGTTCATAATTGCTTCAAATGACCTGTCTTTAGCTTGTCAGAGAAAATCGCCCCTTCCATTTGCCCACTGCGGACGCGCCAATACCATCTGCTTGACGTTTTGTGACGGATATCCACATTTACAGCTTGGCTTTTCTACTCCGGGTACTTTTCTTCTGCACAGGTAAGAATTGAGTCCGATATGCTCGCTTCTTAGCTGAATGGCGACACTGCTTTGGGCCCTGGTTAGGTTACGGTGGATGTTTGAGTGTGTATCTTTGAAGTTCATCTTGGTGCTGCCTGTTTGTTCATCAGTAAATATATTTGCCGCTTTCCAATATTCTGGATCGGCTGATTCTGATCGGCCAGGGCGCTGTTTCCTGTTCTGGCTTGTCCATGAATCCTTCCACTTCTGAAAGGCCGCTATCTTTCCAGCTTCTTTCTGACTTCCCTTGTCATTATCCCTTCCGCAAGTTCTTGTCCATTCTACGATATCTTTACTCTTGTTAAAGTCATGCGGAGTTTCTCTCCCGTTTGCAGGCAGCTTAATCCTATTAAATATCGATCGTATTGTCTGTTGGACTGGGAGTTTAACTGATAATCCGGCGTGCTGGACCCTACTTTGTTTTAAGTATATCTCTATAGCAAGGACGGACGATTCGTGCTCTAGTACTCTGCTGCTAGTAGAATTGTAGGCAACTACAACAAGCTTTAAGCATTTTCTTTGAATACTTCTGAGTGATTTCACTGTCTTTTCAGGTATCTTTCCTGTTGGCCCGGCCAGTCTCACTATCGAGCTGTATAGCAGCTTGGACTTCACGAGTGTCGCTCCCTAAGTTGATTGTGTCAGACTAGTAATTGATTGCACTTGAGTGCACGATTTTTGCTGGATACTCTTTATGTGGGCCCCCCAGTGGAGTTTGGGGTGTCAGAAGACTCCGAGAACCCGAAGAGAAGACTGCGGTAATATTAAGTGTCCTTGTATACTTACGGTGGCTTTTAGGTTGTGTCTATTCCTTGCTCGTGTGAAATGTATTAATTGGTACTTCTCTGGCGCAAAATTTACTCCTTGTTTCTTTACTCACTCCTCGCATATGCTGTGCTTTCCCTCTATCATTCGGCAGTTTTCCTCAGTAAAGCTTGACTATGTTAGTATATTAGTGTCATCTACAAGTCCTACCGCTGAGCAAGAGGGGGTTTGAATTTCCTACATAGTTGTAAGCTCAAATCGGAAATAAATGGTTAATTAATTAATTAATTACGCAATCTCCGTTCGCCAAACACCAGTCGGTCGGGACTACTTATTATCGAGATTAGTAGGATCGACGATGTGTATCCTAACACAAAAATAATAGAAAACTCAACAACCAAACCCATCACTAATAATTGCCATTCATCATTACCTAACCTATCTCAGTACTCCATATTTTTGACACCTCAACATTTTTCTTTTGTAATGCGAGGTCTCACGTGGAATTTTTCTCTTGTTTATCCTCTGTGTTTCTAGGCTGATCATGATTCAACGATTAGAAGCATTTCAGCATGGTTCCGATTATTTATTTATGACGAGATTCATTAACTTAATCGTAGTTAACCTGATTCATCCTGGTACGACTCGTGTCCGAGTTCCTAATGAAGTGCGGAGGGTGACCATTGCCTAGCACGTTAATACACAAACAAACAATCCTCTCCGAGCGCCATCATCCTCAACTAAATTGGAGACATATTTTGTAAGGTTGCTGTTTAGGCTTTCCTATGTCACTTGTAAGCTTTAACGGCTTCGTCAGCATCCTCCATTGTATTTAAGTCCTCGTAATCCGCTTTACCCATAACTATGAATCTGATTTTTTAATTGATTTTCCTTGTATTTTAAGGTTCTTGTCTTTAGGAGCTATCTGACTTCTGTCGCATCTGTTTTATGTTGATATTTTCTCTTCTCACGACTCGTTGAAATAAATTGTTTCCACCTCATCAGGTCCCACATCCGCCGAACTGTCTCTCTGAGGGTTTGACAATGGAAAGGAGGTAAGATCTGGATAAATATAAAATTCACATAGTTAGATTGATGAGAAAGAAAGCGTAGAGTTCTGCACAGCTTTCTGGCAAAATAGTGTTTTTTAGAATTAGCATTGTTATTATTGTTATTATTATAATTAATTTTGAACTTCGCATTATCTAGACCTAAAAACCATTTAAGAATGGAATTATCGTTGTAGGCGTATTTCACCATAGTTGCGAATATAGAAGTCAGCATTTGTTTGGAATAATGATCGAACCTTTGCTTATTGATTGACTAAGCCTGAATCATAGCTCTTTTGGTAGTGAAAAGTCTGATCGAAAATCGTAGACATTGACCGACACTGATAAGATTTTCATTTTGATCTAAAGTAATCATTCTTATTCGTAGTAGCTACTTTATAATTTATGCCTCCAACGCTTCTTGGCAAAATAAAGCATTGTAGTAGTCCCGAGCAGTCTAAGAAAAATAGTAAAAATGGCTCCTTGTCGAACTTTTTGATAATAGCCTTCAAGCATAATACCGACAGCATCAAGCGGCTTTCCATCCGCTTTCCCAGAAGAGATTATCTCTGTCGAACAATTTCCTTCCGTAACCGATAATTCACTTATTTCGCCCATATATAATATACCTTCGGAGATAGACTGCTGATAACTTTTTTGACTTAGCAACAATGCTCTATTTCTCTGCTTCAGAGCACTAGACATTATGTTTATAATCCATTGAACATCATAGGCCGTAAAGGTTGGGTAGCGCCAAAGGTTTATAGCATTATGGGGAGGGAAATAGTCAAGAAAATCAATCAAGATTCCCAGAGTCAGTCCCCAAAGAAGTAGAGGCTTTGTACTTTTGAGTGTATCGTTGGGACCAGAAAAATATATTGCTTGTATTCCTAATCCTGGCCAAGTTTTCTCCGTAGACTCAACCTCATTCACCATTGAAGAATCTCTTTTTGATGTGCAGTACAAAGACTCAGAAGGCAACAACCTGATAGCAGAGAACCGCATAGATCCTAACATTGAGCGAATAGTAGACTTCACGAGGGGCCCTCTGCGTTTTGCAAGTCGATCAGATATATCGACATATTCATAGCTTTGGGAGGATGGCGATAACAGGACGCGGATTGGCACCCAATGTATTGAGGCGACTTCTTCAGGCTGTAGTTTGAGAGGCGGTATGTCTGGACTCAACCACAGAAATACAAAGGGACAAAGTATCATAATTCTATAGGTCATATGAGCAGGAATGATTAGGATTAAATAAGTTGTGCACATACGGAAATGTGCCCCATGCCGTCTTTACAATTCGCTCCGGCAAATTTCCACAAAAGAGAGCATTATTAGAACTTATGTCTAATCCAATTTCTTCAAGTGTCTCTCGCATTGCAACTGCCTTGTCGTCTTTATCTCCTGCCTCCCTTTTTCCGCCAGGAAGGGCTACATGACTGGTCCATCTATCACCGTCTCTTGAGGCTCTTTTGATAAATGCAACTTCTGGATCGCCTCTCAGAACCCAATCGCGAGTGAAAAAGGTGTCTTGATCAAGTGAAGAGCTATTACATTCATCTATATCATCTTTAGTCGGCCAATGATCGAAATGAGGCCGTATGCGGACAATTAATGCGACTGATGCACGTCGAGTATATCCATCAGTTGATACCACACTCTGATGTGATTGTTTCACTAGGTCGGCAAGTATTCTTCTTAAGTGAATTACTAGATGGTTGGTTGTATCTTCAGCGCTAGAGGGCATTGCGAGGGCTCATGAACCACTACACCGCAATTCGTAGCAGGTTGAAAATGAATGAAATCATAACTCTCGCTTCCATCGTAATATGGATAGTGTTTTGAACGCTTACACACTAGCATAAACCTGAACTATCTACGGGATTAGATGCCTCTATTGTAAAGTTTTTAGATCATCGTGGTCAATGATTTCCAAAATTCTACTCGAAGGCCTGCCTGTGCATTCCATGCGTCCAGCATTCACTTTTATTTAAATTCATACTAGCTGCAGAATTATAGCCCAATTTAATTGCATAAATGTTTTTATTTATTGTCCTAATGATTCTATGACTATCCAAGGACATATAAGTTCATTCTGTCTACAAGCCAGGAGTATCTGTGCAGCCGGAAGTGTACCCTTTCTTTTGTGTCCATGACTTTTTTCCAACAATAATATCCCCACAGTTCTTCATTTGAGTACACACCGAGAGGAGCCGTTATCCCGTCATTATCTCCCTCTCCAGCCAACGAAAAGACGGCTATTTTCGGGGGTGTAGCCGCAGGGAAATCTTAAAACTCACTAGGTGCGGAACTCTCCTATGACGGAGAAGCCGGCCAGCCGGGCGCAGCAGATCTATGTACATCTAAGAGGATCTCTCGACCTTCATAGCCTCCTCCTTCCACTTGCCCTGTTTCATGCCGCAGGAAAAACCGAAGGTCGTGAAAGGATGTCAGAAAAGTCTTGGTTGAGAGTGACTGTCGTGAAGGAGCCTAGCCTAGCATCCAAAAGTCGTTACGTACGTGTGGTCGTCGAGTAACTCATATATTTCAGATGCCCTCCTGGCTAGTAGATTCGGAGGTATAGATTAGTGGGGACGATACTATTGAGGAGTCGAAATCTGCTTTTCTTGAGGGCAGGAGAATCGTTTGCTTTGATTTCGTGGGCTTTTTGTTCACCCGCCGGTGGGTAGCACATTTTGTGATGTGACGAGGGCTTCTCTGACTACCGTTGTAGCGTTTGGTACCGCATTATCTTTCCTCATTCCCATCATCATTGTCTACGACTTGATCGTCTTATTTAATATCAGAGTCTTATCTTTAAGGGAATGAGAGATACTCAGGTCAAAGTTGAAAGGTATTACTCAATCTCGTCTCTGTAGACTCTACAATGAGAGCTGGAGGCTCGTAGGGAACACCGCTGACGAATGTTGAGATTAGGTCCCACAGCCCAGATTATAGTCTGACTACAGTTGAGACATTTAATTGACGATGGCCCTGTTTGGGAGGGATGGCCCGCCATGTTGCCTAATTTATTTTACTGGCAGGCTTGACGGGATCCACACATGATGACCTACCAATTAAATCTTGCGAATTCTACCCTAAATCTAATAAATCATCCTATCCGAACGGTTACCGTCCACCGACATATGGTCCATGAAACAAGTGGCTAACCGATTCAGAAATAATCGAACCTTTGTAAAGGGTGAGGATTACACCCATCGCCTGCGCCCTATAATCTTGCATGCGCCAGACAGATAAGCTCTTATCTGGCCCCAAACCTCGAGCTGGCGTTAAATCCGCGACCTTCAGTTTTCTCTTTCTACGATCCTACGCAAAATTTCCTCGTCATTATTTTTTCAAGTCACCGATCGCAACGAGCGCGATAGAAAAATAATCACAAAATCCACTCATTTACTCGTATCTCTTCTGAAGGCACTAGCTCTGGCAAGCCTATGTCTTTTTCTCGCAGTCCTTCACCGAGAACTGGAGGCGGATGGGAAGGTCCTGGGCTCAGTAATCCATACGCAAATAGTTACAATGGGTCCGGCACTTCGAATAATTATCATGACATCAATGGCCACGGAGCTGTAACCTGGGAATCCGCTAGGACAAAGAGCAGAGGAGTCAACAGATATTCAACCTTTGCTATCCAGAATCAAGGGTTTCTCGCTCGAAACTTCCAAAGACTGACAAATAGCCTACCACGATTCAGCAACAGGATCGACAGGCCTAATGCAGAGAAAGAGAAGGTAAGATACGGCCGATGGTCACCTAATAATAGAGGCAAATTTTTGCGTCTAAAAAATATGATCCGATGGAGTAGTAGAAAGTCTAAGATAAGATTCTGCTCATTAGTTGGGCTCATAATAATGATCATACTATTTTATGTCACGCGTAAGGCTAAGGTCAATAAATTCTCGAAGGCTTATTCTAATTTATACAGCTGCTAGATACTGCTGGCGCAGAGCGAAGATACTTGGAGGTGGTAAAAAGTTTGTGATAATCTTAGCTGCTAATCAGGGAGGCGGCGTCATGGAATGGAAAGGCCCACGAGAATGGGCTATCGAACGAGACAGCATAAAAAACAAGAAAAAATACGTGAGCCGTTGGGGTTATGACCTTGAGATTGTGGACATGAGTACTAAGAAACGCTATGCTCACGAGTGGAGGGAAAGTTGGGAAAAGGTAGACACCATTCGTAATACCATACGAAAATATCCTAGCGCCGAGTGGTATGATCCACAAACATGCGTGATAGATATAAGATGATACTAAATGATGTAGGTTTTGGTGGTTAGACCTCAACACTTTCATAATGGAACCGTCCTACTCACTACAGTCGCACATATTTAGCCACCTCGGGAAGGTTACCTATAGAGACATCAACGAGTATAACCCCCTGAACATAACACACCCCTTTAATGCTTCTTATTTGGATACAGAATCTCTCAATGTTAGAGGTGACGACAAAGCCAACTCTATCAACCTGATTGTTCCCCAAGACTGCTCAGGCTTCAATCTCGGATCTTTTTTTGTACGACGCAGTACCTGGACTGATCGACTTCTTGATGTATGGTGGGATCCTGTAGGCTACGAGCAAAAGCACATGGAGTGGGAGCACAAGGAACAAGATGCTCTTGAATATTTATATCAAAATCATCCCTGGATCCGCCCGCACACTGCATTTATTCCGCAGAGAATGATTAATAGCTTTCCTGAGGGTGCATGCTCAGAAAAAGGGAATGATAGCCGTATTCACTACAACAAAAAAGAACGTGATTTTGTAGTAAATATGGCCGGCTGCGAATGGGGCCGTGATTGTTGGGGTGAAATGTATAATTTCCGTGAGTTGAGCAATTATCTTAACCGGACGTGGTGGGAAAGGTTCAAAGAGGACTTTGTAGCGGTAGTTTGGGAGAAAGCCACAGGTCGAAAGATCCGACTATAATGATATATAATAGCGATCGTTTATCTTGTTATTCCTACAGATAGAGCCTATGAATCTATATAAGGCTTATCCTTGCTCTGATTTATGAATTCCAGGGCTCCTTATGCACATATTGCATAGAGATAAATATATTATGCGACTATGATGATCTACACTTCTACAATGTATCCGTTGACATGGCAGGTTGACAAAACAACTACTACAAAATGCTTATCTACTGCTAATAACTAATAGAACGAGATATCCGTCACTGATACAAGTGCAGGCAATTAGGGACAAAGGTTAGAGATGTCGAATTTTGTCAAGGATTTTACAACTTGAGCTTTCTTCGCAACTTGATTTTGTTTGCAGTAGTGCGAGCGACACTCTAAACACTACTATGGTTGAATGGTGCGGTGGTACATCTTCTCGGCCTATCTTCCAAGTAGATTTTGGATAGACTGGACACATCCCATTTGACACAGCAGATCGCTGTTTGGCATCCAGAAAAATACAACCACATTTCTCGCGGCATTGCAATGCATAGATGACGAAGGCATGCCTGGATAATCAAGGGTCTGGAAAGGCCCCTTTGATTGGTATTCAGGGAGATGGACCGTATATGTAGGCAAGCACACCTTATAGTGATTTTTGTGATTGAAGTCCTTATTAAGAGTGTCTCGAATTTCAAAAGATTTATCACACATGTTCGCTCAGTAATAATCATGTGTCACAGCTAGATAGCCAAATACATATAATATGGTTCTGTAGAGACTATATCCACTCCACAAGTCACGATTCCATGATAAGTACCTATGTACCAGCTACTAGGTCTACCTGACGGGAAGTCAATTGATAGGGTTAGACACCAAAAATTGTCTCAAAGTAAATCGACTTAATAATTCTAATCTACCGAATAAATCGGAAGTATTATTATTCCCAAAATTTTAAATATACCTTGCTCGAAGTTATTGCCTTGGACTGGCGTGTTCTTACATAGTCGTAGACTTAAAAGGACAAATAAACAAAAACTGCGACCGGCTGTCGTAAAGAGGATTCAATTGATAACTTAGGACCTACAAATTAGGAAAACAAGGAAGAGAAACCTAATCGGTGACAATTTACAAGTAACTTATTAGGAGGGCAAGATTGAACACCTGTACGCGGTGTCCTCTTCGAACCTGGGAATGAAATATTCTCCCAGAGCCAAGTTCAGTCAAATTTTGCAATATCAAAGAAGTTGGCCCACGAGGCAATGATTCAAACTACTCCAACTTGTCGTTATTTCGCTCTCAACGAGTTTGACTCCTATCTTCGTCTCATCAAGTCTACAAGTACGACCAAGTACATCCTCATCTCAATGACCCCACCTCTCGTCGACAATTCTCTGGCCTCAGCTGTTCACCAATTATACGCCCAAGCCGATATATAAACCCGACGGAGGACACAAAGCGTGGCGCATAAATCTGGGAGATAGTTCTTTGGTATGGACGTGAAAGGGATGAGGATAAGTTCGCTGGATAATGCAAAGGAGGGATACAAATTCGACGGGCATGAGATTCCGAATTTTGGCAAGGAGTTTTTCGAATTGGGCTTTGTGCGCGCCAAGACTTCGCTTGCGACAGTGTAGCTGACACTGTTAATTATGAATTCATTTTATTGTCCTGTCTGAGTCTATGACTATGTAGGACATGCAGGTCCTCTCTGCCTACAGGTCGAAGATACCTCTACCAGTAGTATATCCCCTCCTCTGCCTCCCATACAGCTCCCCTCGAACAGTACCACCCCTCACAAGTCCTCATTCGATCATACACTTAGAGGAGCCCTTTGCCCTTCATAATCTCCCCTCTCCAGCCAACGAAACGATGGCCATTTGTAGGTGTGTAGCTGCCGGGAAAAGTCTCAACAACCACTGGGTGCGGGGCTCTCCTATGACGAAGAGGCCGGCCAGCCGGGCGCAGCAGACCTGTGTATACCTGAGAGCGTCTCTCAACCTTCCTAGCCTCCTCCCTATTCCTCCCTGATTCATGCCGCAGGACAAATCGTAGGTCGTGAAAGGATGTCAGAAAAGTCTTGGTCGAGAGTGACAGTCGCGAAGGAGCCTAGCCTAGCATCCAAAATTCGTTACGGACGTGGGGTTGTTGAGTAACTCATGTATTTCAGATGCCCTCCTGGCAAGTAGATTCGGAATTTATGATTAGTAGGGACGATAATGTAGACGAGTCGAAATCTGCTTTTCTTGAGGGCAGAAGGATCGTTTGCTTTGATTTCGTGGGCTTTTTGTTCACCCGCCGGTGGGTAGCACATTTTGTGATGTAATGAGGGCTTCTCTGACTACCGTTGTAGCGTTTGGTATCGCAATATCTCTCCTCATTCCCAGCATCATTATCGTCGTTTTTGTCGTCTTCTGTGTTATCGGAAGCGTATCTTTGACGGAGGGGGAGATAACTCAGCTCAAAGTTGATAAGGTGTTACTCAATCTCGACTCTGCAGACTCTACAGTAAGAGCTGGAGGTTCTTAGGGGACACCACTGACAGGTGTTGAGAATAGTACCCCGGATGAGGGTTGACTTGGGGTGAAGAAAAAGCCGCCATAACTTCGCAGTGGTACTTGCAAATGTAATCCGTGGCATGAGTGCTCTTCCTTTACGTCGAATCATCTATTCTGTACTTTTCATTGATATTGTGTCATGGCTAGATAGTTGCATACGCAATTAAAATCTGATGCAAAAAAAAACTACTTTCATATTTTCTTACATTATGTCTATTTTTGTACTGTAGAAACGGATGACTTACTACCTATATACAGTTCGTTATTTTTTTTTTTGTTTTAGGGTCCTAAGCTATGCTCTATATCTCCTAGGAGTCAAAGACCGGTGTACACGGCCGAGATCAGGCTTTCCGCATGCCCACCTCGGTTTCACCGCGTGAACCACTAGACAACCAGTAGCTAGTTAAAAGAAAGAAAAGTAGAAACTCCCGTAAACTCCCATAGCTAAAGTTCCAAGCCCAGTAATCCAGTTTGTGGTTAGAAAAACGACACTTCTCGTCTCGTTTTCCTACCTGCCATACATCGTGCTATGACTAATTACCACCGTCTCCGCTGAGAGCTGGAGACGGATCCGTAGGTGGGCCCCCGAAGCAGCCGGTTTCCTGCGCAAATTTTGTAAAGTTCTCGAGGCACTTAGGCCCGAGAAGCTTGTGGACAAAGTCGTGATGTGACATTGTACCTCGTAGTCGACGTGTCTGGCGTGCGTGCAGTCGACAGTGAATAAAATGGAGAGGTGATGTTTCCTCCCCACACGCACACTCCATTGAAGCTGCGAAGTTGTTGAAACGGCGGTGACATGCCGCGAAGTTTCCGTGGCCCGTACAGGCTCAGATCAGTTTACGGAGTAGCCGCCGGGAAAATGCCTGCTCGCGTGGCTTGCGTCGTCGCATGAGAAGACCCAGATTTCGATACCTAGGTGGACATACCTCTTCCCACCAGTCGTCGAGAAGCGCTTGACGTTTCCGGTTCATGAGCCGACGAACGTACACCATTATGACGGAGCCAGGCTGGCTGTCTTTGCTTGGAAGTTATCGGAGGCTGGAGCGTGCAACTCTATCAGCCTCTTCGGTTCCCTGTATCCCGGAGTGGGCTGGTATCCACTGGACCGAGACTCGAGCCTTTTCTGATAGTGCCCTAAATTGGCGTACGTCATCTAGGCTTGTTGTGGCAATTCCCGTCAACAGTGCCTTCAATGCAGACTGACTATCCGTGAATACATTGATCGGCTGCCTGCCGTCCCTTCCACTGTTCTCCCTCTCCAACAATCCCAGTGCGGCTTCCAGGGCCTTTGTTGCCCCTACAATTTCCGCATCAAGCACTTCACCACCATGCTTGATGCCGTATCCCTTCAATAGAGTCTTTCCATCCCTCTTCAAGACGAACCCCCATGCTGAGCGACCATGTCCCTCCGACGATCCATCCGGGTAGGCACAAATATCCGATGCTAGTACATCTCCAAGGAACCTAGTAACCTTTTCCTCCTCCTCTATCCTTGGGCCGAAGCTCGAATAATAGCACGGCGGCGGCAGAGGCTCGGCGTCTTCCGCGTCCGGGAGTTGTCGGTAGGCCCGCTGTACTCGTGACATCTGGATCTCCGGATTTTTGGGTACCCGAGCAGACTTCTTGTACTTCCGTGTTCCATCGTTTGGACACACGGCAGCACGGGTCCGGAGTGGGTGTCGGATGTCTAGTGAGTGCAGTCGAGCCGAAAACCGTAAGCGGTTCCCTTCCAGAATGATCTTTCCAGTTGGGATACCTCCTTCGCGATGGAGAAGATTAGATGTCGTTCTCATTACCGGAAGGGCAGCGCGCAGCCCTGTTAAGATTGCCTTGTCAATCATCTCGCAGAAGATGCTGGTTCGAGGTGTGATGATCCCCCTAATGGTCGGACGTTTGAGGCCGGGCCACCAAACATCTGATCCAAAAGTTGCTATTGTGACAATACAAGTATCCACCGCTCGAACCAGTGCCGCGGGGGCGGCTCCTCGATAAGCTGAATTGAAACGGCGCATGTGCTGGGCAACCTTCAACGCCTTTCCACACCAAATTGTGACATGGTGTTTAAAGTCCAGTCACGGGTCTAGGTGTACTCCCAGCCAGCGTATCTGGTCTGATGGCTCGATAACCACGCCGTTCACACAAATGCCCACTGGCTTCTCGCGTTTTCGTCCGGGAAACTGGACTACCTCCGACTTGTTAGTATCGAAGGAGACTACGTTAGTACTTGCCCAATCCAGAAGATTGTCCACTTCCTTCTGTATAGAAGTGGCTTACTCGGCAGTGTTGCGCCCGAATCCTAGGATCCCGACGTCGTCTGCGTAGCTGAACCTCATTCCTACATTGCCACTTTGCATGGGCTCTGCCATGTACAGAAGGAAGAGAAGTGGCGATATTGGTGATCCCTGCGGAACCCCACAAACCAGCTCTCTCTGCCCGGTTACCCCTTCGGAGTATCGTACTTGCACCTTTC